TGACCCGCCCGCTGCTCCCCTCAGCAGTGTACTTCATCAATCTGCCTGTTCTGCTCCCCACTCTGTCCCTGGTGAATCTCTCACCCTCCGCATCTCTGATCTGTACCCTAGTTCTGTATGAATAAATAAATAAATCTTAAAACAAAAATTGACTGACAAGAAATTGGCATTGGATTTAAAGGTGAATTTTCCTGGCAAGATTCATATATACTGCAAGAGAAAATAGGCTAAGGAATTTTCATTTTTTTGAGATGACACAAGTCAGGACCTACAGTGATTCCATCAAGCAAGAAAAGGAAATCAGGGTAAAAAGGAGTAATGATTAACTTTAGAAAAGCTGGTTACTATGCATTAAGTCTTTCACTGTTCAATATATAGGAGCCACTAGCCACATGTGGCTATTAAGCATTAGAAATGGGCTAACAGTACATGCTGAAATCTTTTAGATATTTAGAATTAAATGAAATCCTTAAAATACTGGGTTGTTAGAAAAGTCATGTTGTAAAAAATGCGTCATGACTTTTCTGACAACCCAATAATTTCAATGTTTCTTTCAAAGACTTATTTTATTTATGTATGCATACAAGAGCTGGGATACAGGCCAGAGGTGATGGGGGCAGAGGGTAGTATGTGTGTGAGAGGAGTCACCAGACAGTGGGGGCAGAACAGGAGGACTGACTGAAACACACTGCTGAGGGGAGCAGCAGGGGATACAGGAGAGGTCTGCTGCGCCATGTGGGTCGGCTAGGGATAGCTTCATAGTGCTGAGACTTAACCCCTACTGCCACCAGGGAGGCCCTCACCTGTTTCTTTTAAATTTTTTATATCCATCAGAAACATTTTGATTACATGTGTGGCTTTTCTTATCTAATGCTCAAGTATAACTCTTTGGAGGTCTTATCATTTTATAGGCAGGAGAAGGAAAAACACTATGTGCTGATTTAACCAATATAACAGATGATGAAACAGAGGCTGAGAAAATAAGCCACCTGTGTAAGGTTGTTCACACCAGTAGTCAGTGATACAGCTGTTTGACTCCATGCCCTTTCCTACACTACAGTGTCTCCCTTGGACAAAAGGACCAGCCGACAAACTAGTCAAGACATCCCTGGCAGTGACACAGAGCCCTTTCATTCATCTGTTCATCCACCCCTCCTCTCTGTAGTGTCAGTTCAAGAATCATGTGGTTAACTCACCAGGGCCTCTCTTATCCCAGCCACAGATCATGGTGCCCATGGACAGCCCCATGCCTTTATACTGATACACCATATTGGCCAGCAGTTTGGAGGCCGCTGCTACGGAGATGCGTTCCTTGTTTCGAAGCTCATAGATTCGACATTGCCGAGCCAGTAGCCGTTCCCAGAAGCTGCAATCGGCTGCACCCCCAGCCATGGTGCCCAGCAGATAAGGGTTGATTTCAATCACCTTCTTTACCGTCTGGGAGGCAATGTAGGCACCGGCTGTGGCCCGGGAGTCTGCTGCAACAATGACTCCGTGGCGAAACTGTTAAGATCAGAAGAAAACACAAAGCATGGCACATCAGACCACAAGAACATCTCCACATTTTTTTTTTTTTTGGCATTAACACAACCTCAAACATCTCTTTCGCCATAGCTTTATATACTTCCCCACATACTGCTAACACTATAGCTTCACCTCAATTGTTTGACGTGGGTATAACCAGTATTATTTTCATTTTATAGATGAAAAAACAGGTACAATGAGGTCAAATGACTTGTCCAAGATCACAGTGCTCGTTATTGCAACCCAAGTCCCGGTTACCCCTTGCCTGGCTCATAGTACAGTGCTCCCGCCCACCAAACTTCCCCTTTGAGCCAGAGGGTTTCGTTTACAGTCGCCCACAGGGCCACCCAGTTTCCATTTCCACTGCTGAATGGCTAAAAGTCTTTCCTCTGCCAACGCCACTGCGGTCCCCCCCTTCCTGGACAGGCGCAACTTGGGGTCGCCTAGGAATCAACCCCAGCTGACTCGGATCCCTTCTTCTAAACTCCGGCGCAGGCACCCCCCCCTCCACCCCTTTTTCCGGCCAGAGCGACAACCTACGCCTCCCCGGACAATGAGACCGTAAATCCAGCAGAGTCGGGAAGCAACGCCCGAGCCTCCACCCGCAATTCGTCGCCACGGCCTCGCCGGGGAACCAAGCCCGGCGCGACGGCTGGGTCCGCACCTTGAAGGCCAGGGTGGTGGTTCCATGAAGCATTTCGATTCTCGGCTCGTCTGGGACACCCCAGCTCGGCGCGGCCAGGCTCAGTCCATCACTGGGACTCCCAGGACTCAGGTCCAGCAGGTCCGCACGACCTCCGAGTCCGAAAAACCCACGCTGGTTCACCGCTAGCGGTCTCTCCAACACACTGGCCAGCGCCATGTCTAGTGAGGGCAAAAGGAACTCCCCGCTGCGAGAACGCCTGGCGGAGAGGCCCGGGCAACGCCTCGCCGTCACAGCTTCACTTCCTATTAAATCTATCCCGGGATCCATTTTAACTCCTGGCAACCACGCTCCCACGCCACACTACCCACAGCAAAGGCAGAAGCAAGGGGCGTTTTCACCGACGGGGGAAAACAGTAAATGGCTTCACTGATTTTAAATTCTGAAAGGATTCGGCCATCATGTTGGCCTGGGTCAGGCAGGTAGGAGCGAGTTAGAGTAATTTCAAATTCACAGGAAACGATCGGAAACGTCCATGTTGAGTGAGGGAAGGGGGGGTCGGCCATCTTTGAGAAGGGCGTGACTGGTTGAAAATTGGTTCTGAATTCCTAGCGGTGAGTCGCCCCTGCCCTGCCGGGCGTCCGCGTTGTACTTCACATCGCTAATGCTTCAGCGCCCCATTTACGCAACTGAAGTTGCTATTTCGTTTAAGGGCACTCGCTAATAAACTCCGAGTAACATAACATCTATTTCCCAGACCGTTTTCCTGTGAAATTAGTTAAACCACAATAGTTTATAGTAAAGAGCACAACAAAAATAGCGTTTACTTCCTTTTTTATAGCATTAATCACCACACAACTCATGTTCTCTTAATCAATTTTTAAGATTCAATACTCTCTTTACTCCCTCCCTCTAGTGTAAATTCTAATAAGTAATGTGTTGCCCAAAAGGCAGATAGCCGAGTAAAGAAGAAAAAGAAAAGGACTTAGTTAATTCAAAAAGTAGATTTCTCAATCCAGCTCCTCAATAGCTGAGTCAATAGTAATTTACCATCTCAGAGCCCGGAGGAGAGTTGAGGTTCCATAAAGATGTAACAAGAGATTCTCTAACTTAAGCTTGCTAGGACAAGCTCTTTATTCAAGAATGTGCTATATTTCATTGTCTCTCCCCTCTCCACCCACTTTCATTTTTCAACCCTTTGGGAACCGTAATAAGCCAGGAAGTGGGCAAATGTATGCAATGTTGCCTCCTGCTTTATGGTTCTATGAAGTCAGTGTCTGGCCTGCCTTGTTGAATTCCAAGGGGCAACATCCATCAACATCTAAATTCCACTTACCTCTGATGCCCAACTTAGCCCCTCCTCTTCCCTAGCAGACTCTGCATGTGTTGTATTTTTAATGCTGAAATCTGGCAACTCTTTCCAAGCCCAACCTCGGAATGCAATGAAAAACAAGATCTTTATCTGTCTCACACATGGTTGGTGTAGAAAATGCAGAGTGCCTGTTTATTGAGCACATATTATTTTTGCAGTAACCCCTGCAATAATAAAGTCATCTTTGTGGGTTCTCTCACTCTGCCACTAGTAGTATTGGTACCACTTTTAAGGTTCTTTCACATTTTACTTGGTTATAAGTGTACATTGTCTCCTACTAGATTTTGAGTACTGTGTACTTAACGCTTGGGTGACAAATGAATACACGAGAAAATGACAGCAGTGCTCTTCCGGTCAGAGACTTGAAACCTTGACTCATCTTAACAACTCCCTTCCTTTCTTCCACATCCAGTAAGTTGCTAAATCCTGTTCTTTCTTCCACTACATTTCTCACATTCTTTTTCATTACAACTGATGCCACCTTGACTTTTTATCTCTTTATTCCTTAATAACTGCAATAGCCCTCTGATTTTTCTTTTTTGTTTGTTTTTTAATTTTTTGTTTGTTTGTTTTAAAGATGTATTTATTTATGCATCCATAACTGGGGCACAGGCCAGAGGTGCAGGAGCCATGAGATGAGTCACCAGAGACAGAGTAGGGAGCAGAACAGGCAGATGGACTGAAAATACACTGCTGAAGGGAACAGCCGGTGGGTCAGGAGAGGGCTGCAGTGCCATCTCCCTGGCTAGGGCTCGAACTTGTGCTGCAGTGGCTGCTGATCGCTTCATAATGCTGCACCTTAACCCACTGCACAACCATGGAGGGCCCCCTAACTGATTACTCTGAGGCCAAACTACCTCTAGTTCATTCTGCATCACATCAGATTAATTTTCATAAAACATATTTTTGATCTTACCATTTTAGGTTGTGTAAAGTGAAGCAACTCAGCATGCATTTGAAGGCTTCCATTATTTGTTCCCAACTTCCTTTATAACAGATCTCTGCTTTGAGGTCCCTACTCAGGAAGACCTCAAAAAGGAGGGGTGTGAATGATATGTTGGTGGGAATGTAAGTCGGCACATTTACAGCATTAGAACAATATGGAGTTTGCTAATTTTTTCAAAATAGAGCTACCGTATAAACCAGCAATTGCTGTCTTGGCTATTAGCTGAAGGAAATGAAATCACTATCATGTAGATATATCTACACTCCAGTGTTATAGCAGCTTTATTCACATTAGCCATGATATGAAAACAACCTAAATGTCCATCAGCAGATAAATAAATAAAATGCAGTCTAGCTACACTGTGTAATATTTTTCAGCCTTAAAAAAAAAAGGAAGCTAGTGAAATAAGACAGAAACATAAAGACAAATACTGTACTGTCTCAATTATGTATGGAATCTAAAAAAATAGCTGAACTCTTAGAGAGTAGAATGGTGGTGGCCAGGAGCTAGGGTGGGGGAGAATGAGAAGATGTTGATCAAAGGATACAAACTTGCAGTTATAATAGGAATAAGTTCTGGGTGACTGTAGTTTTATAGCCTAATTTATAGCCTGGTGACTGTGGTTAATGATACAATTTTGTTGAAAGTTGCTAAGAGAGTAGATTTTAAATGTTCTCGCCATAAGAGCAACAAAAATGGTAATTATGTGAGGTGAAGGATGTGTTAACTAGGCTTATTGTGGTAAACATTTTGCAATATATGCATATTTAAATCTTCATGTTGTATACCTAAACTTACACAGTTTATATATCAATTATATCTTTGTAAAGTTGGGGGGCAGGGGAGAAAAAAAAGGTAAGTGGTGTAGTTTAGAGGTGGGAGAGAAGGTGTATAGATTGGAATGGGACTGGGGGTCCAGTAAAGCTTTGCCAAGGAGGTCTGGGTTTCTTTTTTTTTTTTTTTAAAGACTTCATTTTATTTATTTATGCATATGAGAACTGGGGTATAGGCCAAAGGTGTGGGGTGGGGTGAGAGGATTCACCAGACAGAGTGGGGAGCAAAACAGGTGAGTCTACTGAAATACACTGCTGAAGGGAGCAGTAGGTGAGACAGGAGAGGCCGTGCCATGAGGGTCAGCTCCCTGGCCATAGATTGATAGTGCTAAGACCTTAACCCCTGTGCCAGCAGGGAGGCCCTCGGGCTTATTTCTTTAACTACCACATAGGTTCCATTGGTCTTTAAACCCACAGCCTCTCTACTGTCAGCCAGCACTTGGAAAGGAGTTTTAGAATAGGTGGTACTTAAGCCAGTCTTTGAGGCTAGGATGCAAATAGATGAAGGGAAAATGGGAAATGTGCTAGGAATAGAGTAAAATGAGATTGTGGGGCCCTCCCTGGTGGCGCAGCGGGTTAAAGCACAGCACTGAGAATCTAAAGCCACTTTTGCATGAGTTCGATTCCCGCCTGCCCCGGAGGTGACCACATGGTGCGGCAGACCTCTCCTGACCCGCCTGCTGCTCCCCTCAGCAGTGTGTTTCCTCCATCTGCCTGTTCTGCTCCCCACTCTGTCTCTGGTGAAGCCTCTCGCAGCCCCTGAGCCTCTGGCCTGTACTCCTGTATGCACAAATAAATAAATCTTAAAAAAAAAAAATGAGATTGTGGTGGATAGATTAGGACCAGACTTTTCCTGGGCCATAAATGCCATTCTGGGGTAGAGACGGTGGTTTGGATTTGATTCTGTAGCCCTTCAAGTTTCCTTAAGAGGAGACACAGGACTTGAATGATACCTTAGGTAAACATGTCAGTGTGAAGGATAAGACAAGAGGAGAGATGGAGGGGGGTCAATTAGAGGCCATTCAGCTGTCCAGATCTGACTGGCTAATGGCCTGACTTAGGGAGGTAGTTATCCATCTTATACATAAAGACCCAAAACTGTCCTTAGAAAGAGGAGACAGTCTTACCCTTCAGTAAGGTCCCCATGTGGCCCTACACAAAGAGAAGGAGAAAGGCTGGTTGAACCTTAGCGTGACCTGGTTTCTCCACGACTCCCTTGACATGCTTCCATGTGTCCTTTGTACTGAGAGTCCAGAAACTATGAAGCCACAGCCCCATCATCATGATCTGAGAGGTCCAGCACTTTTTCCTTGTGTGGCTGTTTATTTGACTAAACCCAATGCCATGGCACCCTTTGACTTGCAGAACTCAGTTAATAGACTTTTGGTGGTGCTGAAAGTAGCTGTGACTTGTCACTCTGCCCCAACCTAATTTGTCTTTCTGAAAGGTCAATTTCCAGGGTTCTTCAACTCTACCCTCAGCTACCTCTGGTTGGTCTAAGACTGAGGCTCAACATTATGCTATCAAGGTCAATTATTTCTCCTGCCCTGAAACCAAAGACAGCTTTTATGCCCTTGTGAATCTCAAACAGAAGGGTGACCAGGAGAGGGCAGACACTACATCCTCTTCACTACATTTAACACGAATAGGAGACACTGCCAGAGAGCCGTCGGGAATGCCATCTTTGCAGATGGAAGTTCATGTTCGTTCCCAGAGCGGAGGGGAAAGAGAGCTCCCCTCAACTTGGCTGCTCAGCCACCAGCCCTTCTGGAAAGAACTTAAGCCCCCCTCCTCCACCTACCAAGACTCTTGCTCTTTTCTGTCCCTGTCTCAGTTCACTCTTCTGCTTTGGCCATGAGGTGACAGTATGAGTCCAGAGCCGCAGTCCCCCTGAAAAGCAACCCAACATCAAGGTCGCTGTGTCTGTGGGGTCACAGCCCTCTCTTCTGCTGCAGCAGAGAACTCCGGCCCATCTGCACCTCTCCTCAGCTGGGGCTTCTCTCCCGCCAGGCACAGAGCCTTATTTATGTTCGCAGTGCCCCCCGCAAGAAAACAGAGGACCCCAGCTCTGCCCCTCCACTCGCAGCCCCTCTCCTTGGCAGTT